GGCACCTCATTTGGCTGTAGTTTGGTTCATATCTTTTTCTCTCCTTGTCTCAACCATATCCCAGCTGATAAAACATGAAACCCAGATAAGCAGTAGCCTAGAGGATCCCAAGGAAGTTCCTAATGTGTCCACAGTTTATCCTTATTTTTTTCTGGCTCTAAACTACCGCCTGGAAGAAAGCTGCAAATATTTGAAAACAAAAACAAAAAACACTGAAGAGTTCAGAATGATTCCAACTGAAATCACAGCAGTTCCTCTGGTAAGAAGGCAAATTTTTGCTCAGGTAAAATGCTCAGGAATGAAACACAAAGAAAAAAGAAACAACTCATCAAAATCATAGCTATCAATCTTAGCTACAGTATCGTCACTAAATTTTGTTTGGCTCTTGTAATAGCCCGAATCCCAGGACAAATGACAAAACAACGCATGCTGCTTTTCTTGGGACAAGTTATTCTTGAGAGCAATTAGGTCTCAGACTTCCCCGAAGAGTGATTTTGGTGGAAAGAAACCACACCTAATGACCTATAAGGAACAGCTTTTAAAACCGCCCAAGCACACCGCGTCACGGCACAGTGATGAGCTGGCTCTCTGCTCCTCCAATATCCCTGTGCTTGGCAACAGGGCATTTCCAGGCCCCTCTCTGACAAGAAACTACTTTTCCAAGATGCTGCCTTGAAAACTGGAGCCATTCATTTGCTAGTGGATTAAGAGAATCACTTCACAGATTTACTCCCTTCAACCAAAAGCTCTGTGGGCCCCACAGTTCAGCAAACTCAAGGGGGGGGGGGCAGCACTTTGGTTAAATCCACATCAGTCACCACATGATGCTATTGCCCCTATTTTTATTATCCTGAAAAGGGCAAGGTCTCCCTTGATGGGTTTGACCTTGGAACTGAAGCTAGAGTTCCACCCATTCCCCCCAAGTTTCAGGTGCACTTGTAGGGGACTCTGACTTCTGGTAAGACTATTGGGAGGGGCTGGGGAGGTCCAGGTCAGGGAGAAGACTCTGGTCAGCTGGAGTAAGTGAGGTTTGCTCTCCCAAGACCCCCTTCTCTGCATAGAGCCCTGCACCTCTCATCAGCCAGCCAGCAGCTAAGCTTGTGGGGCTGGGAACTACATTCCTTTGAACAATCTTGGCAATTTGTGCCAGGAATTTGATGCAGTAGCTCTGAAATTAAATAAAGATCCTGTAGTGTTCTTCTAAGAAATATGGCGTGGCTCTATGACAAAACACATTTTTCAAGCTCTGACCTCTGGGAACTCCAACTAGCTTCATATTTCAGGCTGACACTGAGCTGGTTATCCATATATTTTCCAGCCTCCTGATCAGCTTTTAGCAGAGGGAGGTGAGGGGAGTAAATAAAAAGAGGAGAGCCACTACTTTAAATGCACTTCCCCTCCTGAGTCCCTTGGGGAGAAGCCCTGGTAATTAACTCTAATGAGATTAAAGTAACTTGGAACTCTTCATTTTGCCAGCACTGTAAATCTGTGATAACCAGTGTGTGTGCATTAAATCAAAGTCAGTCCCTTTTCCTGTAATGTAATGCCCCCCCCCCATCCCCCAACTCCTACCCCTGGCCGAGGCTGGAGAGGGGTGGGGGCTACCGGGTTCTTACCCGCACTTTGCTCCATCACTTCTTTCTGACACATGTCTTGAACATTGACCGTGCAATTCACGATGAACTCGGGGGAGGAGCAGTCGTTGTTCAGCTGGAATTCTTCACACTGATAACACTGGATTTGCAGCGCAAAGCCTGTGGGGACAGACGCAGTCGGGGTCAGATCCAGCCCCCACAGAGACCACACCGGAAACCGCGACCCTCCTCGGCCCCAGCCAGCCACGGATCCCGACCCCTGGCGTTCTTGGGCTCGGCGACCCGGGGGTCTCCACGTAAGGCGGCTGTGGCTGAAGCCGGCAGGGGGCGGCGCGGACACCGAGGGTCCCGCAGGATTCAGTTCAGTTCTGCCTGAGACCCCTGGACCAAATGTCCAGAAATAAAGCGCCCGTCCTACACCGCACCTGGCCTTTACCCCACGGAAGTTGAAAGGACGGGTACACAAGTAGCTCCAGAGACAAGCTTCAGCTCCAATCTACAGCACAGGATTTGCCTAATTGTTAATTGGTTACAAATTACTTAATTACTATTTTGGCACCATTCGCGATTGCATTCGCAGACGCCTTTTTAGTTTTAATTTTTGTCGTCAGCGTTCCTGTGCTGTGGCTCCGAGGCTCCCTACGCGACCCCCCCAGGAACCCAGGAGGCAGTGCCGGGCGCCAAGTGCTGAAGCGCCGCGAGTCCCCGGCCTTTCTTCGGGACAGTCCCCGCAGCAGCAGAGGGGACCACAGCGTGTACAAGGGGCGTGTGTGTGTGTCTGTGTGCGCGCGCGCACCCCGAGCCGCGACACAACAACCATTTCTTCCTGGCTTTCAGGGCAACCGTTTGGCTAGGGTCCCCGGTCGGAGTCCCAGCTCTGCGGCGCTCGTTCGAGAGCCGTTCGCGTAACGGGGAGGAGTGAGACATTTTCGCACCTCTCATCGCCCCAGCCTGGCTGCTCTGCTCGGATCCAGGAGCTCCTGTCTAGACCTAACTCCTCATGCTCCCGGACAGACAAGCCCCGGACCCCGCGCTTTCTCCCATCTCCACGACGGTTGCGCTCTGAGCGCGGCAACTCAGCTCCCGAGCGCCCCGGCCACAGGCTGCCCGGCGCGCCGCTCACCTGTCGGCGGCGCCACTCCCACCGGTTCCTGGAAACGCCGGGTAACTTGGCGGGGTCAGGGACTTCATCGCCCCCTCCCCCTCCGCGAGGCCCCAGCACCGCTCAGACCCTCCCTCCTCCCCAGCTCTGCTTCCTCTCCCAACCGCGCAAGCCCGAGCATCTGCAGCTCGAGTCCCGCAAATCCGCCGCTCCCGCCTCTCCTCCTGCAGCGCGGGACTTGGAGACTTTCCCATCCAGCGCCTCTGGGCACCAAGACCAGTCGCCGCCGCCAAACTCCCGCTGGGCAACCCCTGCGCAGCGCGGGCCCGGAGGTGGGTGCCCGGGGGGGCGAAGGGGCGGGCGGGTAGGTGGGGTGTGCGCGCCTGGCGGGGCTGCTGGCCTTTTCGTTTTCTTACCTTGAAGCAAGAACAATCCGCAAAAAGTTGCTGCGATGCCGAGGACCCACATCCTCCCGGAGCCGCGGAGCCGGGAGAGGGCAGGCGCATCAGAGGCGGCGACCGCGGCGGAAGCTGCCCGGGTCGCAGCGGCTGTGGCTGCCGAGGCTGCTGGGGCCCGCGCTCCTGCCGCCGAGGCCACCGCCGCCGCCAAGAGGAGCCGCAGGTGCCGCCGGCGGCGCCAGCATCGCCCGTGCCCGGGCTCCCGGCTGCGGGTCGCCGCTCCTCCCGCTGGCGCTCCCGGGCAGAGCGCGGCGTCTCCGGAGTTGGCGGCTGAGAACTGGAGGAACTACTGGCGAGCCGGAGCACCCAAAAAAAGTCTCGTCTCTTCTCCCCACCTCCCACTCCAGGCACCACGTGACGGCTGCCGAGTTGGGGTGGGGGTGGCGGGCGAGGAAGGCTGGGACTGTCTTTTTCACGTCCCCACCCCCTTCCCATCGCCCTCGTCTCCCGCCTCCGCACGTCCCCAGGACAGGGACGCCAGGGGGAGAGGGAGAGTGTAGTTTCCCGAGGTTGGGAGGCTGGGGATTGGGAAAGCGCAGGAGGGCGCAGCAGGTGCCGCGGGGACTGGCCGGGCGCTGACTGCGGGACCTGCGAAGTGGGGTCGAAAGACTGCGTGCTCAGCTGGGCCCTGCGTTCCCCGGGGCTGTCCATTCGGCTGAGGTTGCCGCGAGGCTGGCGGCGGGAGCCCCGAGCCGGGGGCGGCTGGCTGGAGGGGGACGTGCTCGTGTGCGCCTGGCAAAGTTGCACACCTGCAGGCTCCCTGGGGTGGCCGGTGCAGCTGCGCCTTTTTGTTTTTCTCCTCCGAGAAGCCCCTGGTTCATGACCAGGCTTGGCTTCAGCTGCGGCAGGGTGGGCGGGGTGTGGTGAAGACCCTGCTCTGACGCGCGCGTGTGCCCCGGGCAGCCCTCCTTCCCCTGCCTGCGCGCACAGCTGGAGGGTGCAGTGACACCGCGACGGTAGCCTAGCCTACGACAGGGCGGTCCCCGGGGACAGCTGTCGCGAGTTCCCACCAGAAAGCAAATCGGGGTGAAGAAGGGAATTGCTGTCCTCTATCCCGTTTCTTCAAAAGGCCGGGCATCTTCATCGCCTCAAAGTGACGGGTTATTAGTACATACTCCCGTGTCCTCTCTCAGTCTCAGGCTGCCCGGGGTCCCTCTTTTAAGTCCCCGCCCCATTCCCCCGTCTCAGTCAAGCGACCCACCTTGAGTGCTCCCGGGACGCCACGGTGCTAAGTTCGCCTTCCTTGGAGCCGAGCCTTGCAGCAGGTGGTGCGGGAGCCTCTGCGCCCCCACTCTCAATCCCGCACGTTGCCACCCCTGTCCCCTCAGTCCTTGGGGAGAATCCTGTGGAAAGAGCTTCATAAGCTTTGCCTCTCTTCACCCTCGTGCGCTTGGGCCACCCCCTGGAGGAAGCTCTCTCAGGCCACGACGCTGATTATTTATTTCCCCATCCTGCCAGCACAGTAGGTCTGGAAATGGGCTTAAATGACTTTCTTGTAATTCCTTTGCAGAGATCGTTCCAGATCTGCCTCAGGCTCCTTCTCTCCCTTTGTCCCCCCCACCCCTTTCATTTCTAGTTGGTTAACCCCTTGGCGAGACTGAATGCTTTGACCATTACCTGCTTGTCTGCAGACTCTGATCTTAACAATTGGCTGAATTACTATCTCTGGAGCAAAGGGGCCAGTTTATTTATTCTTTCCGGGAATTGATTGTTGTAGCATGTGTGAGATTCAAATAACTGGGCCAAAGGGTTCTTGAACAAGTCCTTTTAAGATTTCAGAGGGTGCAACTGTGATACGACTTTTATTCAGAAATGAAACAGAAGAATTTTTAAAAGTCTGAAAGACAATGATACTTTACATAATTTTCATTTAAGATAACAAAATTCAATATAACAAATTGCACAAATTAACCAAATAACACTGGTTATACAACGCTCTTTTAACAAACAAGTGTGTACTGAAGTAACCAGATAGATCCTAAAAATATTTCTATTAGGCCTAGTTTACAAGCTCCTGTACAAAAGCAATTATAAATAGTTCACATCTAGAAAAAATACAAATAACCTTTAAAATAGAATTTATCCTCACATATAAACAGACTTTGTAGGGGAAAAAAAGGATCTTAAAAAGTAAGATTTTTTTTGTAGCACCAACCATTCATTTTATTTTTTAAAAAGTGAACGTTATAGATAGGAATTTGCTTTCATTTCTAGATTGCCCAGATTTTAATCGAAAGAGCAGGAAGATAAAAAATCAACAAATGCTCTTGAGAATTATGGAGAAGCACTAAGTAGAAGAGGATGTAAGGAAATGTTTGGAGGGAAAACCTGCTGTTGAAAATAGAATTAGGTCACTTCTGATCCACTTCCCTTCCCATCAGTGTCACACTTTGAGTACCTGTTACATTTTTCAGTGGAAGCAGAATTAACACTTACTACTGGAACCTGAATCTCTCTGGCAACAATTTTGAAATAGCACTGGAATTAACGTTCATATCACGTTGAGATTGTGAGTTGGAGATAACCACGAGCCCTCTGGTTTTTGGCGGGGCTGGGTTTTAGCGTTACGGAGTGTTCCCGCAAACAACTTGAGTACTAGGACAGTGAAGTCTACAAACACCTTCGCTGGAATTTTTAAAAAATATATTATCAACTTCTAACACTTAGTACGTCATTTCAAGAGCATGGCACGGATTCAATTTATTGCTGTCTTTTTTTTTTTTTTGCTACAAATATAATTTCTTTTCCAAAAATTTACAACTTCTGTACAAGTATTCAAAAAAAAAGTGCAAAATTAAGACTTCTGTATTGTGGGTGTGTTTACATTTCATCCTCGTGACACACAACAAATGGAGCCTATCTTTATTGCCCTGTCAGAGAAGGAAGCTCCCATGGGTTGCTTGCTGTGAATCCGACAATGCAGTCTCTGGTGTTGCCAGGGTTTACTGGTGCTGTCTCTATTCCCCTCCACACACACCCCTGTTGCTTAAGTGCTCCATTTTTCAGCTCACTAAGGAAAAAAAAGGTCCTTTATACATCATTTGAACCCTGACTTGCACAAGAAGAGAAGCTATCGTATAAAGAATCACTCAGTGATTCCAAATTGTCTACCCCAGGCCTCTCTGAGCTACTCAGAGATGCCTCTTCATTTTTTTCTTTTTCTTCCTTTTGTCCTTCAACCTTGTTCAGAGAGTTCTTCTCTCTCTCTAACAAAATCACAGTTTTGCTGTTATATTTGTTGAATGACTCCAGGGAAATTTTAGATAATCTATTCTCAGTATCTTCTTTTGTTTCTTCAACTTGTTTCAATTTCTGTAATAAAAAGACGAAAATATTAGAGACATATTTCTTTGGAAAATCAAGTTATTCTATCCAATATTCAATTATTGTCTGCATAACTTGCAGTTTAAAGGGATAGAGAGAACCTACAAGTCTTTAACAACCTTCTAGTATAATTAAAGGTAATAATAAAGCCAATTTGAGGGATAAATCAAGACTTTAATCATTTTACTGAGATAAATAGGTCCCGATTTGCAAACTGGTAAAGTGCCACTTAATTTCATTTTAAATGGATCTACTCAAAATCTGTTCAGGTAAAGTGCCTTATATGTCTTCACCAAAGTTTCAAACTCCTCTCTTTTCTTACTAAGTATTATTAGTTGTCTTGTTTCTAGATATGGATAGGGATTGAATTTCAGTCAGAAGTTGGGATTGTACAGGGGGAAAAAGGCATACAATCCCTTAAATTGCCTTGAAATTTCAATACCTGTTAGACTTGTCAGAAGCATTGTCATCTTTCTGTTTTGTCCCTTTACAAGTCTTAAGATATTTGCAAGTGATCTCCAGGTCTGTGGGTATAGACTCCAGAAAGCCCAAGGGCTTAAAAAAAACATAGTACTGCTTCTGCCCATTAGTAACCTCTCCCCTCCAGGAGGCTCCAGCAAGACCAGTTACTGGATGTCTCTAGGACTTTCTAGAACACTGCAGTCATATTGAGTTATTCAATTATTGTAGGTAAACTCTGTACACCAATGCATTTCCTAGCTCCTTTTCCTCTTTTGGGCAAAAATTCTATCCAAACACCAGGAGGAAGTAGGGACAGGGGCTTAGAAGTAGTAATAGCTACCATTTATTAAGCATCCACCATATAAAACTCACTGAATATACTTTCTTTAGAAGCATTTCACAGGGGACTTGCAAGTTACACATCCTCATTTTAAAGACGAAAACAAGGCTCAGAATGACAGAGTTATTTGCCCAAGGTCACACAGCAAGTGACAGAGAACAGGATTTGAATTCCAGGCTGGCTGCCTTCCATGCTTTTGTTCCTACTAAACCGTGCTTTTATGTAATAAAAGACAAGATGTCTTTTTTTTCCCACCCAAATATTCTACTTAAATAACTTGCCAAACCATCTCTATTGCTACCGTCCCAGACTCTGACAAAAGCAATTCTGTTCTCCAACCCGTCCCCCACGTTGTTATGCTGGATGCACAAAGGTACAATGAGGGAACTGTTTTGATCCAGGGAACAACACACATCCAGGGAACAACATCAGAATCAAGCCTCTGATTCTCATACGCTAAATATTTAATAGGAAGAGAAAAGAAAAAGATATGGCAGTGGATGGCCCTGGTGTCCCAAGAGCAGACTGAGACACAGTTTCTCTTTCCATTATGGAAATGACACAATTCTGTAGGAATATTTAAAAATCATCCTTGAAGTGGTGCTTACTGCATTATACAATTAACATATAGGAGCATTACTCACAGAGTTCATTTTCAAACTCAAATGGCTGCCTTGAAACCAGAAGCTTGAAACAAGCTAAGGAACAGATTTCTAGGTGCTTCCAGAAAAGTGGCTCCATAATTGGGTATAACACCATGCAAAAGCCCCTTTTCATACCATGCCAATTTTTAGACTTAAAAAAAAAAAAGATTTATTTGAGAGAGTGAGCACAAGCCACAGGGGCAGGGAGAGGGAAAGAGTATCTCAAGCAGGCTCCACGGAGAGTGTGGAGCCCGACACGGGGAGTGTGGAGCTCGACTCGGGGCTCGATCTCACACCCTGAGATCACAACCTGAGCCGAAATCAAGAGTCAGAGGCTTAACCCACCGTGCCACCCAGGCGCTGCTCCTAGGCATTTTTAATAAAGAGTTATATATAGTACAATACTAAAAATACCCGGAGAGCAGGAAATGCTTTGATGTACCAAATGCCGGTAAATAAAGATGTTTATTGCAATTTTCTCCTCGCCTGAATATCTTCTCCCTTTTTCTTTATTCAAGAACCATGAGCATTTTCCTTGCCTATTTCTGGTCATAAATGGATCTCACATTCATTCCATAAATCCTAGAGAAGCTAGCATGATGCAGATGGAAGGTGTTGGTGTTGAGGACAGCGGAATAAAATCGGGTCAGGTGTGGCCAGGCGAGAAGTTGAGGCTCTGGAGGCAGACACACCTGAGCTTTGCCCTTTTATTGGCTGTATGAGTACCCTTGAGTTCCCTTCCTCAGGTGTAAAATGGTGATAATACACACCTTGATTTCAGGATTGTTGCAATTAGTCAAAATAAAACACCTTGAGACCCAACACAGAGTAGTAAGTGCTCAATAAATGGTACAATAAATAATAATCAGGCAGGATTCTTATTCTGGACAGTGTTTTTGAAACTGCCCTCCAGGCCACCAGCATCAGCATTATGGGGGAGCTTGTTAGAAATGCAAATTCTTGAGCCCTATCCAGACTTTTCTACATCAGAAATGCTGAGCGAGGCCCAGCAAATGTTTTTAACAAGCTCCCCGGGTGATTCTGATACATTCGAAAATTTGACAATCACCTCGTTGGGAAGAACTGGTAGTCCGGGAGGGAAGACAGATGATAACTATAATTGAGTGTATTGAGGTACAGATGAGGAAGGAGTTGTTTACCATTAAAACACCCACTGTGGGGGTGCCTGGGTGGCTCAGTCGGTTAAGTGTTTCCCTTTGGCTCAGTTCATGATCCCGGGGTCCTGGGATGGAGCCCCATGTCAGGCTCCTTGCTCAGCGGGGAGCCTGCTTCTCACTCTGCTCCCTGCTCATGCTCTCTGTCACTATCTCTGTCTCTCTCAAATAAATAAATAAAATCTTAAACACCCACTGTGTTGGACACAAATAGTGTGCCAACGTTTTCCAAATGTTTCATGCTTGTTGGTTTGTTTCTTCAGTCGATTATAACAAAGGCCTATGGAGGTGATGAAAAGGAAGGAATGGCCCAATAAGAAAGATCACATGGCCTTCTCAGTCTTGCTTTTATTTCACAGTATTTAGTGAAAGGTGGGCACAGAGATATTTTTTGACTCTAAGAACAACATCAGTGCAAGAGGGACCGATACAACACCTGGCATTTAGCCTCAGTGTTGGGGAGCAATAGGGAGTGGTGAGGACTGGGGTCAGCTCAAGTGCCTGTTCTAGAGACAGGAGCAGCTTATTGCCGCCATGCACTAACTTGGGTCCAGAGCTATTGATTTTAAAGAGGAGGCCATCAACCTAGAACAGTGTTTGCTTATGTTTCAGATCCTCTGATGTTTAATTAATTTGCTTATATTAAGAGAAAAAAACCAAAAACAACAGCCCCAAACCCCCCTGTATCTGTCAAATTGCAGTCTTTACGTTTTTTGAACTTTTGAGGTAGAGATTATGCTTGAACTTCTGAGGTAGAGATCATGTTTTATCCATTTATGTCCTGCCTGACCTCCTCATCCTCCTTCCCCGACCAGCTTTCTCCCTAAAGGCTTTGTCTCTTGCTCAGTCATCAGTAAATTCTCAGCGGAGACTTGATAGGTTCAACCCTGTCTAGCATCAGCAGGGTCCCAACTGTTGGCTTTGCCAGGGGTCCTGACAGCTAAGAATAAAAATTGAGAGCCTGTTCCACGCAGACACTCTGCTAAGCACGATGCACGGATTATGTTTTCAGCCTCACATCAGTTCTGTGGGGCTGGGTGTCATTAGTATCTCCATTTGGAGCCAATCGAGGCTTGGGGAGGTGAAGTCACTTGTTTAAGGGCACGAGGCAGTATGTGGTGGCGTCTGGGGTTGGCCCTGGGGAAGTCTGCCTGCAGAGGCCACGCTCTTCCCCTCAACCCCTGAAAAGAGCTTTACGAATACCAGCCACTGTTAAATCTCTCAGAGGAGCATCGGAAGTAAGGATCACAGACCACCACCAATATTCATGAGAAAAAGCCCAGGAAAGATCAGTGTTCGACAAGGATGTGGAGGTTCCCTAGGACACCCTCATTTCCTTCATATATTATGCCTCCTCGGAATTACGATAAAATTAATAGACTACATTTGTCACCTATAGGTGGCAATGATTGTACAGTTCACTTTTTGGTGGGGCTTTCGAATGCACTTGGGAACAAGGGAGGGCTGAAGAGCGCAGGCGAAAATATATTTTCCTGTTTCAAATACATAACGTTGCCATATTCTTAAAATATTTTTCTGCCTTTAATGTCACCACAGCGTTGAGTGATAACTCAAGCAAGTAGATAGTGACATAGTTTGCAGAAATCCCCTGGAATGAATTATACCTCAATTAATTTAATTCCTTGTAGTCAAACATTAATCAATCAATCAATCAAACCAATCCACTATGTGACTGGCTTTGTGTGAATAACCGGGTGGTCTTGATTCTCAGAGGGGGTTCCATAGAGGAGGGGGCTCCTGGAATGATTCTGACAAGGGAAGAGGATGGAGATATATAGTAAGTGAGGGGAGGGCATTCCATGGAGTTCCCGCTGCATTTGTATACCGTTCTGGGTCCACTTTAGGTCCAGGAGCTGCTCAAATAGTCTATGTGAAGGTGCTGTTGCCCTTTTGGATTCTATAATGGACAGAATCACTGTAAAGACAGAAACACACATCAAGAGGTACCCATCATAAGGGGTTCTAAGAACCCAACCAGACTCGTTCAGACTCAGTACCTGGGTTATCAATCATACATAGCTTTTATTTCCAGAGAGCTTTGCCATCCAAGATTTCACTTCAGTCTTATATCAGTCTGGAAGGTAAGGGAGGCTGGTGTGGGCTGTCCTCTCCATGGGGTATTTACAGAATCTGTCATTCATACAAATTCAAATTCAGGGGAAATTAGACCTGGAAGCTCAGTTTCCTGATTTTCAACACAAAAATGCATACCATTTTTTTTCCACAGTCAACAATGATCATGGAGTAGAGATTCTGCCTAGACCAATATCCTGAACACTAGGAAGGATGAAACTGAAGGTGATATGGGCCCTTGCCATAAGGAAAAGGCAGGGAGAATGATATAAG